CGGCGTGCCCTCGCCCGCGCTGGGCGGCAGGCCTTGCCCAGGCAGTGGGGCTGCTGCATCCTATAGGACAAGGTGATAGCCGTCCCATTGAGTGCCTGAGGGGAGGGCATGAGAGCTTAGCCCTCGCCGCTGTGAGTCCGAAGGAGGCCGAAGAGAAGGACGTGCTCCGCTTTTGCGGCGGGTGTGTACAAGCTCGCTCTCGGCTCCGGGAGGCCGCTTGTCTTGCGGTAGTGCGCGCTCTCGCACAATCATATTCTGGGACCTGTTCCGCGCATCCTCGCGATATTCGACGTTTTAAAATACCATATTGACATATTTCGTGGTGGTCAATAGATAGTCAGACACTAGGAGCCACTCCTGCGATCCGGGTCATTGGAAGTGTATAGCAGCCGGCCAGAACACAGGCTCTTTCCTAGGCAGCCCTCAATATTGGGTTATTCACACCTACAACGGACCAAGAGGATTCTATCTTCAAAATCGTTTTTAGTAATATCAAATTATAATTTCGAACAAAGATTTTCCTCATTTCCGAAATTTTGTTTTTAACAGGAAATTTAGATTTTCTTTATTCGCTTTACTAAAGAACGAAATATGATTAAAAGATTTGCTAACAAAGACTTTCCGTATCTTTCTAAAAATGGAAAGTCATATTCTTGATTGAAAAGAGATTTACTTTCTAAAAACGGGAATTCTCATCCCTTTCTTATAAAAGGCGTCTTTTCTTTAAAGACATGAGAAGAAAAATTTTTTAAAGAGTGTTTGTCCATTATTCATATTTTTTTATCTCTCAAAAACTTATCTCAACCCCTTTTATTTCTTTTTCATCTTTAATACTTTACGTATTTATCTTTAAAGAGAAAAGGAAATTTTAAAACAACTCTTTTGAAGACAGTTCTTGATTCCTAAAATGATTTTCTTAATCCTTAAAAACTATTTTTCCTGTGTGTGCTTATATTTGCATTTCTATCTGTCTATTTAGATTCTGTAATCTTTAGTAGACAGGTTTTCATTTGATAAACATTTGTGTAATAGCTTAGGTCAAAAGCTATTGTGAAATAGGTTATTAACTGACCTTCTCAGTGAGAGAGATTCTAATATCTTGAATTGAGTTTCTGTTCTCAGCCAAAAACAAAAAGGGTTAAGGTTAACTAGAACCTTTGGAAAATCTAGTGGGACAAAAGGTAGATTTAGGAGTTGATCTATTGCCTTGTACTGTTGGTTTGTCTCTTACCCTCGAAAAGAGATAACATAGTTGAGGATCTCAAGATGAGTCTTGGGATTCTCAGATGAGTCTTGGGGAGTGGATGTAGGCGACTTAATGTTGAACCACCTATAAACCTTGTACTGTTGGTTTGTCTCTTACCCTCGAAAAGAGATAACATAGTTGAGGATCTCAAGATGAGTCTTGGGGAGTGGATGTAGGCGACTTAATGTTGAACCACTATAAATCACTATGTTAATCTTTTTATTTTCTGAAGTTCTGCTTGATACTATTTTACTCACACACTTCTGTTTATGTTTTAGAAATGCTAAAAATTGTTAATGGTTTTGATGTTCTAAACTAGAATAAGTTTTGTCTTTTCTGAACATTAGAACTCTGGACTTCTGCTCAGTGAAACTACCAAGTTCTAAATTGTTCTTCTATTTTCAGTATATTTCACTACTTGGGTTTCTAATCAATTTTCTAATCTTGATTGAAGTTTTGTGAAGCAGTTCAGATTTCAAAAACTGTTTCTCACATATTCTTTTATATTTGTCTAAACTTTATGAGGAAGTTCTAAACATAATAGCTTTCCTTCATAAAGTAGTTTTAATATTGCATAAGAAATTGTGAAATAGTTCTAATTAATAACTATACTTTGCAAAGTCTTTCTATTTTCTGCATAAGGGCATTGTGAGGAAGTTTTAATCAATAACTTATTCTCACAAGTGCATTACTTTTCTGCTGCTATAGAATTCTAAGTTTGTTTTTAAAGTTAAATTTTTATTTTTAGAAAATTCAATGTACCCCCCTCTTGGGTTGTGCCATACATATTCGGGACCCATACCTTTAATTTCAATAATATATTTCTAATTACATACCAATGAATGTAATTTATAATATATTTATAATTTACTCATTATTTTACTAGATGTTAAATGTTACAATACAATTTATTAATGATATTTCTTGACATAACTTTTTACAATATTTGATAAATATTAAAACCGAAATTTAAAACAACAGTTTATATTTATTATTAATATAACATTTCATAAATATTCTAAATGGTTGTAGGCATTGCTTATAAATGTAATTTCATTTTAGTGCTAAAAACAATTATCTTATGTTGCCACAAGATTTATGAGAATGTTGTATACATATGCCTACATTTGTAATAATTATTGCTTAAAATACAATGTCATTTTTATTAATGTTGCAATAACATATCCATTGACAATTAATTAATTACTTATAGTAATTAAATATAGTTTAAAAGTAAAATATAATAAAAGTTGTATAAAATTATATTAGTGACGTTTTAATATAATTTTGAACAAAAATTTTCAAATATTACAATAGACACTTAAAACAACATTTATATATGTTGCCATATAAAATTTAACAACAATTTGTAAATGATTTAGGTGTCATTTTATAAATGTTATTTCAGTTCAAATATATAGTTACGTTTAATACACATCCATTTAAGTGACATTTAAGCAACATTTAGGGAAAGTGTTCGTAAAAACATTAGTGACATTTTTAGAAGTTTTAGCAACATTTCTTGTTTGTTACTATGTGACATTTTTGTTGTAGTGAGGCGTATTCTGAGATTGGAGCTTATTCTCGCTCGAACGACCTTCTCACTACTAGGCTTCTATTAGGATCTGGCAGGTAGATGCATTTGCTTTTTTAATATCATGTACTAAACAACTCTTATTAGTACAATTTATTCACAAATGCACCACATAAGTATGAATGAATGACTTTTGTAAAAAAATGTTTGAAATATTTTCTTTTATTTCATATCAATAATGTAAATTCACGTAATTTGCATACTAACTATTAAACTCAATACATCAAGCTTTAAAGTTAATAAGAAACACAAAATGTGAATTAAATTAATTGGAACTTGCCATAAATGTTTTATCTTAAACATAAAATTCCTTCAGGTTGTCTAGGTTGACTAGCTTTGTAAGCTCGTTGCCTTCTAGATCTAATAGCTTCACAACACCTATTGAAAACTTCCTCTTGATCAGAAATGGACCTTTTCAATTAGGCTTGAATTTCCCTTTAGGGTTATGAACATTCGACTTTACCTGCTTTAGGACCGAATCTCCTGCCCTTAACAGCTTTGGGTTGACTTTTGTTGAAGTGCTTAGCCATTCTCTTTTGGTAGAGCTGATCCATAAACCATGCATTCAACCTTTTTCCATCTAGGAGAGCTATCTCTTGATAAAGGCTTTCGGCCCATTGACATTCTAAGATTTTGGATTCCATCATTATGCGCAAGAACTGCACTTTTATCTTAGTTGGTAGAACAACCTCCACTCCATAAACTAAAGAATAAGGAGTTGTTGGTTTGGTTTCTTCTTGCAGTCATTTGGTTTCTTCTTGCAGTCATTTGGTTTCTTCTTATACAAGCTGGTGCCACTGGAGATCTATCCCTAAAACCAAAATACCCACCTTTAACATTAGACTGACTTGCAGGTGGGTTTCGTCTATACTTACTAAACTTCCGACTAGGCTCAGCTACAAATGAGATTGGCCTCTTAAACCTTTGCTCCTGATCTTCCTTCCTTGCAGGTGGGTTTCCTCTATACTTACTAAACTTCCGACTAGGCTCAGCTACAAATGAGATTGGCCTCTTAAACCTTTGCTCCTGATCTTCCTTCCTTGCAGGTGGGTTTCCTCTATACTTACTAAACTTCCGACTAGGCTCAGCTACAAATGAGATTGGCCTCTTAAACCTTTGCTCCTGATCTTCCTTCCTTGCAGGTGGGTTTCCTCTATACTTACTAAACTTCCGACTAGGCTCAGCTACAAATGAGATTGGCCTCTTAAACCTTTGCTCCTGATCTTCCTTCCTTTTCTTAGGTCAATTGTGGTCAATTTCTTTCATATGGAAAGGTTCGATTCTTCCTCAAATCGTCAACATTTGTCCCTCTCATTAGAGACCAGGAATGGTGTATATTGGGACAACTGATTAAAATTTACTTCTACTCTGCGTTGTCATGTTCCCCTGTTTCGAATTCAGAAATTCCCTCCTCTTGTCATCAATATATACCTCTAGCATGTAATTATCCTTAAATGCCTAGAGGAAATCATCCCATGTCAGTATTGGAGGCCATACATCACTAGCTAGGACTTTCTTCCACCATTTAAATGCATTCGCCTATAGTAATGATATAGCATAATCATACCTCTCATCTGGTGCATAATCCATTTGATCCAAGATTCTCCTTGTTCTTTTTAATCATGTCTCAGCCTCAGCTGGCTCAATAATACTAGAAAAATCAAGATCTCCATACTATCACAGTTTATCATACCTCATTTCTTTCTTTAGTTTAGGAATATATGGTACATATGGTATGTATGACTCATGTGGATGATTAGATGCTTCTATAGAATAGGGATAAATTGGCGTTGCACTCCTTGTTGACTCATGGCTACCACCATGCTCAACGACCCCAGATGCCTTATATCATAAAAGGACATCATTTAATAACATGTAGACAATGTAGGGTATGCTTGACATATGTCCCAATGGAACACTAAACCATGCTATGATACCAAAACTATATATAACATCCTAACACCATATATCCAAGGACAAAATAATGCTGAGATGCTACATAATGTGTCATAAATAACCAATAATAGAGGTATAAATCACACCATGTATTCAGTAGTGGAAACCAGTATAAAAAAATTTCTTACTTTTCACACACAGTCATATATAAAATATATACTTGATAAAACATAGTTTAAGCATATCTTTTTACATGGTGGACCATACGGAGAACAAACTCCTTAAATACATGTATATAAAACTGAGGAGGTGATATATGCAGACACAACTAATTCCGACCTTAGTTCCATTTCTGCCAGTCTGAACAGAAGAAGTTCTGACTGCTAATGCCCCTTAGAGCCAAAATCTGGAAAAATACTAGCATTTTATATGAGATGTTACTCAGTGAGTAAACATTATCATAAATGATTATTTGAAATATTATAACATAACAGGCATCTCAGATAAAGCACATAGTACACTTCCAATAATTTAGAACATCTCAAACTCCTCAGGCCATCATTACCCGATATCAAACATCATCAGATAATAATCATTCATCAAATCATTCATAACAATAGTGTACAAATTTCACATCATTCTCATTGATAGAAATACAGATCACAGACATTCAAGGCATCACAGATATGATGCTACAGACATATATTTCAGAAGTATGATGCAGATGATTATCAGATTATTTATGTTATGACTTGTCAAACCAAACTCGCCCCTGGGGTATCAGATATCAGATTTAGCTAGCCAGCTTTCAGATCAAATATTTTGAGCACGCAGCTCCAGATACAAACTTTTGAGCTTATAGCTCCGGATAACAGATTTATAAGCACATAACTCCAAATTGAAATCAGATTTATGAGTTGGTAATGACAGTCATAATTTCCTTTTATCTCAGATGCAGAATATGACAAATTTGCATTCACAGATTAGGCTCACTAGCCTTAGAATAATACATACCTTTTTTTTCTTCATCTATCCCTTTTCAGAATCACGTCATGTTCTTTCCAAAGCAAAGTATCAAATATAGAACATTGTCATAACAGATAACTCAAACAAACATTCATCACAGATTAGGTTCATTAGCCTCAAGATAGTAGATACATTTTTGCTTAGCTTGCCTTATTCCATGATAAGAATCATATTCTTATCATAACAAGATATCAAATATGAATGTATCAAGACAGACATTATAGGCATTCATTCATTATGTACAAATAATCATTATAAGCTTTTACTCACAGTACACAGAACTGTAGTTTCAACGCCGGGAAGAGCCTCCTTCTCTGCCTCCTATGATCCTCTTACCTATATGAATAAGCAAGCACTTCAAGACTCATTTAGGCATTTAATCAAACACTTGGTGTGCATGACTTAAATGCTTAGTACCTTTGTTCCTCTTTGTATTTTGAATTCTCGGAGAATTCCATGTATTCTCTAACAATCATTAAACAATCCTATAATCTTAACTCAATCAACTACTCATTAACTAACATTATTAAAATTCACCATGACATCACCATTTAATGAATATTTCTTAAGCTCCTTAAACTTCCATAACCATATAAATATGATAACTTCAATTTTAACATAATTGTTTTCAAACCAACACTTGATAACATCTTTAGAATGTTTATTCAACTAATTAAGCTCACTAATTCAAATTGAAATGATCATCTCTATGATAATCTCAGGTTGGCCGAACTTCCTTCTAAGAACCTTAGGTGTGGTTTTCTCAATTCAATCAAATTAAAGCTCAATTCATAGATTATCTAAACAATAGTAACTAATTAATACCTTAAATCATGTTTATTTCATTTATCTCATCAAAGATCATCTTTTACCCCAAATTCTCTCTTTGAAACCCTAGCTATATCCTCTCTAAATCAAGTAGATAACTTAAGATGTTTTATTTCATTTATCTCATCCAAAGATCATTCCTTTTACCCCAAATTTCTCTCTTTGAAAACCCTTAGCTATATCCCTCTAAATCCAAAGTAGATAAACTTAAGAATTAAAATTGAAAAACTAACTTACCTTTTGTATGATTTCTTTAGCAAAAAAACCTTTTGATTTCAAGTGTTTAATTCAATTCAATCAAATTAAAGCTCAATTCATAGATTATCTAAACAATAGTAACTAATTAATACCTTAAATCATGTTTATTTCATTTATCTCATCAAAGATCATCTTTTACCCCAAATTCTCTCTTTGAAACCCTAGCTATATCCTCTCTAAATCAAGTAGATAACTTAAGAATAAATGAAAACTAACTTACCTTTGATGATTTCTAGCAAAAACCTTTTGATTTCAAGTGTTAATTTCAAGAGAAATCAATTTTTATTTTCTTCTTCTTCTTCTCCTCCTCTCCTTAAGTTGCAACCCATCTCTCCTGCTCCTTTCTTTTTTGTATTTTACCTTCTCTTATTTAGGTTATCATATGGTATATAAAGGATAAAAAGTCATGAGCAAGTCAATGACCATCAAATCCCTCTTAGCCTCCTTAAAGTTGTACATATTCATGTTTTAACCCACATTTGTTACTTACAATTTCTCCTTTATTCTAATCAAGCCCATATCCTTTATTAACACTTAATTAACCACATTTAGATCTTAACTAAACATCTTAGGTGAGTTAACATCAAGTCGTTAAGTGCTTAATCTAGATTCTACTTAAGGTGCTTCACGTGTTAGCTTCTCTTCGTCATGACTTGAGCACATTTAACCTTCTCCTAATTAATCTCCACAATAATTTCCTACTTCAATTAACTTATAATCTTGTGATTAACAATCTCTTACTAGCATATTAAGGCAATCTTGATCAATCTAATCACCAAGACAAACGTAATTCTCCATGACATTCAGAATATACTCACTTGAGTTAACCCACTCTGGAACACCCAATATAGTCATATTGGAAGAATATAAAAGAGTACAAATGCAACCTTTGTATCTAGGACAGAGTGCCAAAACTTCTCAAATTCAGAGTTTATCATATTCATGCATTTGCTTACTCATATTCATACTAGATGTCTTATGTGCATAATCATGGTTAGGCATATCATGGCTTAATATTTATCATAAAACAATTGCAATTGCATGTTTATATGTATCCATGTCACATATGTCATATTCATAAATACAGAGATGCATGGTCATGATATAGTGTTCCGGGTCCAGGATGTTACATATAGGTTTAGTAAGATGGCACATTTAATTTCTTATTATAAAACTGATTATGCTATATATATTGCTGATTTTTTCTTTAGGGATGTTGTATGTTTGCATGGCATTCCTACAACCATTATTTCTGATAGATATACTAAGTTCTTGAGTCACTTTTTGTGTGTTCTATAGGGTAAGTTGGATAATAAGTTGTAATTTTCTACTACTTGTCATCCATAAACTGATGGCCAAATCAAAGTGGTAAAGAGAACTTTGGGATCTTTATTGAGTGCTATTGTTGGTAAGAATTTAAAAACTTAGGAAGATTGTTTTCCTTTAGTTGAATTTGTATATAATAGAAGCATTCATTCTTCTACGGGTTTTTCACCTTTTGAGATTATTTATGGTTTTGATCCACTAACACAATTGGATTTTTTACCTTAGAAAAAGAAATGAGCTTTCTAAATTAGATGGGTAGCAAAGCTCGAAATTGGTTAAATCCATATATGAAAAGGCAAAACAACACTTTGAAATGAAGAAAAGTCCTATGCACAGAGCACTGTAGGATAGATTTGTCAGGTGACCCTTTCTCCTTTTGGTTATGTAGGTTGTGATTCGAGGTCGAGTCCTTTTTAAGAGGGATAGAATGGTGCAAACAACCATGACAATGGAAATTAAAGTGCTCAAGGCAAGTTGGTCATGCCGCCTTGACCAATCACAAGATTAAGAGCAAACAAAGCTCAAAGCAATTTATAGGATTTTATTCAAAGCATGATATCAAAAGAAGTTAAGGAAGAGAGTTGGATCAAGCTTGAAGAGGATTTTAATGAGGAGCAAAAGCTTATAGCAATGCTAGAGGCGTGTGCGAGTGAAGAGAAAAGCAACTTTTAGCTTTATGTACAAGTCAAAAACATGTGGAAGCCATGTGCAAGGCATGTGCCTAGGGTGATCATGTGTGTGGCATGTGTTTTTTATGTGTATTGAGCTTATTTAGTTAGTTCATACGTATTAGGTCTAATTTCAACATATGGGCCTTAGTTTAAAGCCCAGATGCATAAACTAATTCTTGTATTTATTAAAAAAAATCTTGTGGTATCATAAACTTTACAAGAGACTCAAATCAAACCTATCACATGTAATTCTACACCCCCAAATAAGTAAAGATATGGTAATATAGGATATAAAATATGAATCAAATCAACACCACAAATATTTATAACTTGATAAGTTAAAACAATCCTTAAAGTAACAATAAGAACAACTAAGCTTTCTTGATGAACAAACACAATTTCATTAACCAAATAGCAAATCTGAAGTGAATCCCAGTTTATGACCATAGGAAGCTATTTATATGCCTCAAATACACCTAACCATAATGGAAAGTGACCAACTAAATTGCCCTAAGGCCCAAGCACATGAACTAACACTTTTAGGCCTCCTCCCCCACCCCACTCATACATACATCCACCTTCAATTTGTAAAATTAATTTATTGAATACTTCAATTTATAAAATTAAATATATTAAACACTTATTTGAAAATTAAAAAAAGTGAAATTATTATTCTAAAAGTTGTACTAATCGCACATTAAATTAATATTTTGTAAATAAAAATAAAAAATACCAAGAAATTGTTATTATTGGTATGAAGAGGTACACAATATTACCAAAATCCACAACTTTAGGGACTTGATAAGATTTTGAGAATTAAGATTGATTTTGGAGGTTGTCTACTCTAGGTTGCTAGGCGATTGTCATATCAAAGTGAAAATGGAGAGAGAGAGAGAGAGAGAGAGGGAGAGAGAGAGATAATAAATTAGGTGAAGGCCCGCGCATTGTGTGGGTTGCTTTATTATTATTATTTTGAAAGGATTATTTTATTAATATATTATAATTTATAAATTGCATGTACTAATAAATTAACAAAAACAAAAAAGATCTCTTAATTAGGAAATAACTCCAAAAGTTTAAATTTATCTTTATAAGTGTGAATCAATAAATGTAGTCATACATAAGTCTTGTTTATAGTTTCTTCCAAACATAGAAAATCTAGATATATATATAGAGAGAGAGCAAAAACCCTTTGATTAATTAATACATGGAAATAAACTTTATTTTTAATTATTGTTGTTAATTATTGTTGTCATAGGGGGCCATTGACCATGAAATTAAGATTTGAAAAAATAGAAATTAATACATGGAATGCTTTGGAAAAAGTAGAGAAACTAAGATTTGAACTGTGAAAATGTAAATTTTTTTTTTTTTTCCCTCATAGGGGGCAATTGACCCCTCTTCCAACGAGTAGCTTCGTCCCAACTCTTACATGCAAAGATGTCATGCAAATAAACTTTATTATAATACTTGGGCAATAGTTGAGGTTAATCCTATGTATGATGATATAATAGTAACAAAGATTTTAAAGGGAAAGGGATACATGTTGATAAGTTATAGCACATGGAGCCCATAAGAAATAGCAAATTACACATTAGCTAAAAATTATTTTTGGGATGTTTTTTTTGGTCTTCTAGACAAATAATTATACATTATAAAATTCAAACATTAATAGTCTACTGTGCCAAAGCACTTGTATTGTACACAAGAAGAGCACCTCCAGCAAGAATCCCTAGCAGGGTTACTGCCCATATTGCTAATCCTGTGGTGCCTGCAAATTGCAAGTCCAATTATATATTTTAATTAATTTAATTTAATTTAATTATAAACAAGGATTTTTAATTATATGATTATCAAGATTAAATATAAAAATATTATTCTAATTACCTCCTGCATAAACATCACCAGTTGGAGACCATTCATCAGTATTGTAGATAGGGCTGCACATTAATCATCACATAATATCATCAGTTATTTCTTTCCTATTTCATTATTATTAATAGTTTTAGTTTTAGGCTAATGAACAAAAAAAAAATTAAAATTAAAATGTTTACAAGATAACTAAATGAAAATTAAGATCAAATTGAGTCAAGGCATTCTTTATTATTGTATTCAATTTTTTATATATTTTTTATACAATTTTCACTAAAAAGTTCCATAAAAAAAATTATCTTTTATGATTCTCAAAAAAGAAAAATTATATTTTAAATTTAAAATTAAATTATCAATAAAATTGTACAATGACAAATTTACATACTCAGGGCAAAGTCAATAGATTGAATTTCTGTAAAATAAAAAAATTAAATTAAATTGAATTAAATTAAATCAAACCGATTTCATTTAATTTAATTTTTTGAATTTTAATTTTTTAAATTAAATCATTTGATTTTTAATATAATTAGTTTTTTCGATTTTAAATACTAAAAATCAATTCAAACATAAAAAAGTTAAAGTTATTTATATTAAAAAGTAAAATCACACCAAATTTGTTAAAAACCAAAATGAACCCATCAATTTGTTAAAATTAAAACTTGATGACTCTTACCTGTATCCATCCACGTTAGCACCATATTTGTCGACATATTGGTATACGCCCTTTCCCTAAAATAAGTTTTAACATAGAATAAATGAGAGTAAATTTATAATATAATAATATAATAAATCTCTCTTAAAATATAAAATGTCGAAAGATTGAAATAGTAAAGTTCTGGACGTGAATTTGTGTATTTAGGGTTTTATTTTGCTCTTACTATATATGAAACCAAATCTAATAATGACAATCAAAACATATTAATATACATAGCTATAGGAAATTGTCTCAAATTATAAAAGCAATAAGTAACTCTTTTATTTTACACGATTAGGAAAACCAAGACTTATATTATTTAACAAAAACAATAAAGAACTTTTATAAAATATAATTTTTTATAATTATTGATATGGAAATTGTTATAAAAAATAAATCTATATTTATAATGATTTCAACTTGTAGCAACTTCTATATATGTATGTGTCTCATCTTCTTATAGAAAAAGGGGAAATAAGAAATTACTCTTTTCCTTTTATATATATAATGATATTATATTTTTACATTTTTATATACCATAAGTGCCCCTAATATATCGGAATAACTCTAATTCCACTCTCGCTGCATCAAGCTCATAAAGTGCTTTCGGCGAGGTTTGACACTCAGACCTCTTGTTCAAAGGATCTAGATACTTCCACTCAAAAAGTTCTTATTATGGAAAAATTTAAGAATTATGTGAAAATTCTAAAAATAATTTTAAAAAAACTTACAAACCAACCATCAATTTAAAATGGTATTTAGTAACAGTAAAAATTTAAGAAATATAAACAGTAAAAAGTATAAACTATAAAGTTGTTGAAAAACTAAATAACTTATTGTATTCAATATAAACTTGAAGTTATTTGTTTAAGTAGGGTTAACTTAACTGAAATTTTCAAGTGATGTACAAGCAATTGTTATCAAATAACTCATAATAAGTTGTGCTATCCAAAACAAAAGATCTTTCAGAGATAAAAATAAAAAATAAAAATAATATATGAAATTAAGCTAAGGCACACTAACCGTAGCCTTCCTTCCGGAAGCATCAAGCCCATTTCTGAGGTTCATGCCACCACCGATTCCTACACACAGAGTCATTCCAAACCCAAAACTTAAATTAGTCATTCAAATCTTATATACGAAGAAATAGAAAGAGAGAGGGAGAGATGAGAGACCATAAGGCTTATCAGTCTTGATCTTCTTCCCACCACCGGCCTCAACTTTGAAAGCTCTTCTAGAGAGTTTTGGGAGACCTCTCACCGAAGATTTTTGGACACTGAAAGGAGATGGTTTCAGACTCACTGAAGCCATAACTGAGGTTGCCATTACAACTCTCTCTCTGATCTCTTTTTATTTTCTCTGCGTTTGCTTTCAGATACAGCTCGCTCTGTGGTCTGGGTTTCAAAAATGGCAGATAATAATAGTAATGTCAGAGATAGTGATTCTCGCTTTGCCACGTGGCGCTGTTTTTGTGGGTTGCAAGTAGATATGATGTTGCTAAACATTATCAGGATGGGATTGGGAACTATTTCAGCCACGTGGAATCAGCCCACAGGGTTGCAATGTCTAATTCACAAATATATGTATTTCAAGAAATAATTTTTTTAGAAGTCAAAACATATGATATTGTAAGAATCCAAATAACAAAAGTAAGTCCAGATGCAACCTGGTCTCCTCAAGGATTTTTTGGGTTCGGTTGTGCATTCATGTCCACTGTAGATAGATAAGAATTAGTCGCCATATTGTGCTTTGCACGTGCGAGTATATATATGTAAATAATTTTTTTTGAAAAGATAAGAAAAGAAGGTGTTCATATAATTAATTGATCGAAAAAAGTAACAAAGTTCAATCCAATTAAGAGGTTTTTATTTGTACTTGAATTTAATTATAAAAATAATAAAAACTTTAAATCTAGAAAATACCACCGAGAATTCCAATATTGCATTCAAAACTTTGAAAAAAAGCCAAAAGTAAAAGAATAATAAAAAAGAACAATAATCCATGGCTATAAATATTATTAGATATTTAGATACTCATAAGGAAGGTTATATTGTGTCCTTTCCCTGGGAGAGTTTAGGGTTTCTATTTTCATGGTGGCTATGTCGCGTTTGTGAAACGTTAGCGTTCTGCCTTGTTTAACGGTGTAGATCACTTTCGGTCCATATTTTCTACTCTTTCTGTTTTCTTTTTTTTTTTTTTTTTTTTTTTTTTTTTGTTTGTGACAACGTTAGGCGTTCTGCCTTGTTTAACGGCCTGATAAGATTCACCCTTTTTCGTCCATTTATTTCTAAGCGTCTTTTCGGTTCTGTTTTTTTTTTTTTTTTCTTGTTCTTTCCTTATTTGGTTTTCCCGCTGGTATTCTCCTAGTCTCTCATCATTTCTTGGGTCCATTTCTTTCTATGCATTCTTTTTCCCTTTCAGTCCGCTTCTTTCTTTTAATAATGTCTCTCTTACTGTGATATTTGTTGTTGTTTACTTGGTGATTTCCGAAGTTGGAATGGGGAATAGAACGGCTCAAATTCCAGTGCCCATCCTAAAGCAGAAGAGGGGCCTTATGAAGTTTTGATATTTCCAGAGAGGCGATTGTTTGAAAGGAGGAAAGATAAGGCGGTTATCGTCATTTAATTTACCCGGGGGACAAGCCTTTTAGACTCTAATTGAGTTTATTAAAGTATTTGCCTCATAGTACTAGACACATCTCTATTTTTGCTCTAACGGGAAATGGATAAAGCGATCAAGAGCGAGAGAGCATAATAGGGACAAATGCCTCTATCTCAGGGAAAATCAGATAAATTACCATAAAAAGAGGATCTTTTATTGATTTTAACCCCTGATGATACAAAACTCAGGAGAGTGAATTCACAGCTGCCTTTTTTTTTTTTTTTTTTTTTTTTTGTTTTTCCTTATTTTGGTTTTCGCTGGTATCCTTTCTAGTCTTGTCTTCTATTTTTTTTTTCCCTTCAGTGTTTTCTTTTTATATTCTCTACTGTTATTGTGTTTGTTCTTGTGATTCGATAGTGGAATGGGGAATAGAAGTCAAGAGTCCCATCAAAGAGGAGGCTATGAGTTTTGATATTTCAGGAGGGGATGTTGAAGATAAGATAAATCTATATTTACCGGACAAGCTTTTGACTTATAGTTATAATATTGCATCAGTACCTAAAATTATTTTTTGCTCTAAGAAATGGAAGCGTCAAGCGAGAGAATAGGGGCTATGGCTCTCTCGGAAATCAGTATGAAATAAAAAAGAGATCTTTTGATTTAACCAAGATATGGAAACTCGAGGTGAATTCACCAGCTCTTTGAAGCAAGAAAAACCAGGTGATGCTCTTCGTGTTTCTATTTCTTTAGATCCAGCGGAGATTGCTCGACGTGAACACGTATTTTTCACACCGTTATATCATTAAAAATCAGTCAAAAAAGTTGCGATTCAAATTGATAACCAATTGATCAAAAATCGAAATTCAGCCTAGCAAATAAAGTTGACCTTTACTAACTCTTTTAGACATAACTTTGTCCGCAGAAATAATTTTGGGAAAAACTTTATAACATCAGAAAATTGGACATAAATAGCGGGATGCTGCTGCTGGATGTCATGGTTCTGGGGCGCCATGAAGATTCTCTCTGGAACTCCAAAGTCCTCTGAATGTCAAAGTGCTGTGAGAGAGCAGAAAGACCATACATTGAGCCAAAAAACACGAGTTAATTTGGCCCCTGAATCATGAGCATGATTTCACTGCACACAAAAGCACTAAAAAAATTACCTTTCTCCACTATTTTGGTTATATCTCAAGCTACAAATTGAATTTTTGGGTGATCCAAGCTGTATTAAAAACTAGATCTAAAGCTTTCTAACAATATATTACGGACTAAAATCAAAGTGGAATCAAGCCTCGAACCATCCAAATCAAAAAAATTGAAGCAAACTAGTCTTGCTAACCAACCAGGGGTTTGACTGCTTGACCTAGCCGCCCCTGAACAGTCCTTGGTTGAAAATACACCGAAAAACACCCTTTTTACATCTTTTTCATCCATATTGTTTGCACACACCCTCATCCCTCACTCTCCTAGCCTATATAAATACCCTCTCAAATCTCGTCATTTACACACAACAAACTCACAAAAATACTTGGTGGAGCAATATAAGCAACCTATTTTAAAGGTCTTTGCTTTTAGAAGTATTTGGTCAAGTGTAGGTTCTCATTTAGGTGGAAACCACAATAGTTCAATAGTTTTCATAACCATTTTTGGAGTCAGTCAAGGATTCCCGAATTAAAGATTTTGGACGCTTGTCGCCTTCAAGACACTGTTAAAGCACACTACAAGAGGTAGGCCTCACATGACTTTTAATTTTAATGCTTTAATTTAATTAGTTTAGATTTAATATTTAATTAGGTTAGTCTAATTAAATGCCTATTTTAATTTAATACTTAATTAGAAGTAATTAAATTAAATGTTTAATTAGCTTAGTTTTAAATGCATGATTTATTTTAGTTTAGAATTAAAGTAAATAAATTGCACGGTCACTTATAATTAATTAATTAAGTTAGAATTAAGTACATAGCTAATTTTAAATAATTGCGTAGGGTTAATTATATAATTGCATGATCACTTAAAATTAGTCAATTAGCATAGAATTTATTGATTAGACTCAATTAAACGCTTAATTAGCTTAGAATTAATTAGATGCATGATTAGGATTAAATTAGTGTTCTGATTCCAACTTACTATGAGCGTTCTGATTCCATATTTGGCGAATTGGACGAGGCGCTCGGATTGTGCCTCTCAGCTAGCGACTCCATTAAGGAGTTAAATTCTTTTTTAACAAAGTAGACTACTAATTGGATTAGAATATAGGACAATTATTTTCAAAGCAATCTTTTAAATTGGGTTTTCTTTTAATGCTTTGTCTTTTATGCATCATTCCATTTTCATTCAAGCCTTAGACCAAATAGGATAAATTTATGGGTTATAAGTAGTGTTTTTCTAACAACTCTCCTTGAGGCTGTTGTGTCGCTCACAAAATTACCTAAACTGCAATGAATCCTCAATCTATTTTGAGGTGTAACGAGTATACCCCTACTGTTTGATTCACGTGCAACTCCTTATTATGTACACAGTTAGGTATATTGCTGCTCTAGTATGAAGAAATCCTTTAAACCAAACCACCTACATTAGAACCATGACCTTTAGGATGTATACTATAATAACCTATGTGATTGTCATGAAAATGGATCTTTCCATGCACCCATCATGCATATCATTTGCATGCATACACCATTTTGGATCAAAAGTCTAAATTCCCCTTTGTATTCAATCAAAAATCTCCAGATGAATGTACCCTACCTTCCTAAACACAAAAGCCCTTGAAACCTAGCATGCTTTTACCCTAAACCCTAGATCTCTAGGTGCATTCTCTCTTCAAATGTGTGTTTGGCCCTTGCATCCTTACTTTTTCAAACAGTAAGACCTTAGATCTCTAGGTACCTTCCTTGTTCCAATGAGAATTTGACCCTTGTGTCCTTATCCTTTTCAACACTAAAACCCTAGATTTCTAATTGTAGAAGCTCAAGTTTTGCCCCGAAAGGCTAAGTGATGATAAACCGTTTTTTTACATAAGTGTGGATTGGGATTTCCAATCGTCCCGGTTTTCGGACCAATAGTCCATGGTTGAGACAATACACGTATTTAACCATTTTTACTTTTTCGGGTCACTAGGCATTTCGCGCGAAATCGGGCATGAGAACGCGCCAGTCCACTCGGTGCGCTTCCCGATACACCACCTTATTTTGCGTGCCACTCAGTCCAATTTTATAAAAATGGGCCCGACCATATTTTGGGGCCCACCAACGGCATTTTTTCCACATAAGCCCCAAAATAGGGCAACATATTCCCATTTGCCTATAAATAGGGCATTAGGAATTGTGTAACAGGGAGGATTTTTGGAAACCTTAAGGAAACTCTTGTATTTTCAAAACTCAACTCAAAATCAAAGTTAAACTTGTGTTTCTTTTTGGTTTAAGTTGTTGTGAATACTGAAATTTTGAGGCTCAAAAAGCCTGTTTTCCCGGACTGCAAACAGTCCAACCGGACCGGAGGCCATTCGGAAAGTTCACCGAAGGAAATCTTGATATTTTTCCCAAAACTCACTCAAAAACAACAGGTTAAACTTGGTGTTTCTTTTTGGTTTAAGTTGTTGTCGAATACCTGGAAATTCTGAGGCTCAAAATAAGGCCTGTTTCACCAGCGACTTGCGCCAGAACAGTCACCCAACCGGTACGCGAGGCTCATTCGGACAGTTCACCGTAAAGTATCGCTCATATATA